ATTAAAAGAAATGACCTAAGAAAATAAAATAAAAATAAATAAATGAAATGATCTATTGAGCCATGAAAAGATATGGAGGAAACGTAAATGCATAATACTAAGTGAAATAAGCCAATCTGAAAAGGCTAAATACTGTATGATTCTAACTATATGATATTCTAGAAAAGGCAAACTATGAAGACAGTGTAGATTAGTGGTTGCCAGGGATGGAGAGGGGGCAGAAAGATGGATATGCAGAGCATAGAAGGTTTTTAGAGCAGTGAAACTACTTACACATTTGTCAAATCCATAGAATGTACTACACCAAGAAAGAGCCCTAATGTAAACTGTAGACTTTGGGTGATGATGATGTATCAATGTTGGTTCATTGAATGTAATAAATGTACCACTGTGGTGTGGGATGTCAATAGTTGGGGAGGTCGTAGGTGTGTGGGGACAGAGAGTATATGTCAAGCCTTTGAACCTTCTGCTCAACTGTGCTGTAAACCTAAAACTGTCCTAAAAAAAAAAAAAAAGCCTCTCCCCTCCCCCACCAAAAGAAAAAAGGCAGAGAAAGGAGAAAATAGGGTTATCATAATCATGACTTAGACTAATCATTATTATTTTTGCCTGGGACTGTGAACATGGATGCCCTGAACTAAATTGAAGTGTCTTTTTGTTTTTTGTTTGTTTGTTTGTTTTTAAGATTTTATTTATTTACTTGACAGAGAGAGAGATAACGAGAGCAGGAACACAAGCAGGGAGAGTGGGAGAGGGAGAAGCAGGCTTCCCGCTGAGCAAGGAGCCCGATGCGGGGCTCGATCCCAGGACGCTGGGATCATGACCTGAGCCGAAGGCAGACCCTTAACGACTGAGCCACCCAGGCGCCCCGATTTTTAATTAATTAATTAATTAAGGATTGGAGCCCAATGCAAGGCTTGAACTCATGACCCTGAGATCAAGGTCTGAGCTGAGATCAATGCTTAACTGACTGAGCCACCCAGGCACCCCCCTAAATTGAAGGTTTATTAGCAAGGAAGAAGTGAGGAAATTTCCTCCTTGATGGTATTTCCTAATTAAGATTTTTTCTGGATATAAATATGCTTCCTTACAATGTTACGGTAATCCCTTTTCTGTTTACTAGATGTATGTTATGTCACTAGCAGTGTCTATCACACAGGTGCTTCCCGTGGTTTCCAATCTTAGTACTGAAAGAACAGCCAAAGGATTCTAGCCTGGCCTCCCTGCCATCTGCTCTGACCCAGCCTCTCTCTTCTTCATTCTCCTGTGAGTCAAGGATTCTTGTTTACAAAATGGACACACAGAGTTCCAGGTGCAGCCTGTGGTCTTGGAACTTCAGCCACAGGCCAGAGTTGCAGGACAAGGGATTCAGTTGAAGCCTTTGTCTTTAATAGCATCAGGGCATAAAAACCTGTTTTTATCTTTGATTGGATGAAATCTTATAAGGAAGTGTAAACAAATGAATCAAATACCATCAGAGATGCTTGCCTAAATCCAGGATAAGGGCATGGAACAACTCTCCTAAACTCTTCTAGAGCAATTAAAAGCCTTGGGTGGCAACTGCCAGGACACCCCCTGCATGGAGCACCAAAGGACATCCTGGCTGGCATCAACTTCAACTTCAGCTGTTCTGCCAGGGTGCTATGTGGAGAGCCCTGGGACTGCCCCAACCCATGCCCACTTCAGCTCCAGCCATACTACCAGGACAGCTTCAGCATGGAGTGCCCCAGGACCCCAGCCCACAGCAGGCACAGCTTCAACCAGCCAGCCAAAGTCACCAGGCACACAACCTACACAAGGAATGACCATACCTAAGACCATTCCTTCAAGTTTAGAAGTAGCTGTTCCACCTAATTCATAGAAACAAACACAGAAAGTCAACCAACATCAGGTGATGGAGGAATATGCTCCAAACGAAAGAACAAGACAAAATCACAGAAAAAAACTAAATGAAATGGAGATAAGCAATAGGCCTGATAAAGACTTCAAAGACATGATTATAAAGATCACTAAGATCATTCAAGGAAAGAAGAGTAGAAGAACTCAGAACTTCAACAAAGAGAAGTTATAAAAAAGATTCAATCAGAGTTGAAGAATACAATAACTGAAATGAAAAATATACTAAAGCAAATCAACAATAGATTAGTAGGTGCAGAAAATGGATCAAAGATCTGGAAGACAGGATAATAGAAAGCATATAAGCTGAATTGCAAAAAGAAAAAAGAATGTTAAAATATCTCTTGGACAAGATCAAGCAAACAGAACATTCACATTATAGGGGGTCCCAGAAGAAGAAAAGAGAAAAAAGGGCAGAAAACTTATTTGAAGAAATAATAGCTGAAAACTTCCCTAACCTGGGGAAGGAAATAGACATCCATTTTCAGGAAGCACAGAGAGTTCTAAAGAAGATGACTCCAAGGAGGCCCATTTCAAAATACATAATAATTAAAATGTCAAGGATTGGAGGGCACCTGGTGGCTCAGTGGTTAAGGTCTGCCTTCGGCCCAGATCATCCTGGGGTCCTGGGATCAAGCCCTGCGTGGGGCTCCCTGCTCAGCAGGGAATCTGCTTCTCCCTCTGTCTTTCCCCACCACTCATGCTCTCTCTCAAATAAATAAATAAAATCTTTAAAAATAAATAAATAAATAGATAAATAAATAAATAAATAAATAAATAAATAAATAAATAAATAAATAAAATGTCAAAGATTAAAGACAAAAACAACATTTTAAAAGCAGTAAGGGAAACCATATAAGACTATCAGCTGATTTTTCGGGAGAAACTTAGCAGGCTAGACCAGAAGGGCATGATATAGTCAAAGTGCTGAAAGGAAAAAACCCACAACCAAGAATATTCTACTGGGCAAGGTTATCATTCAGAATTGAAGGAGAGATAAAGAGTTTCCCAAACAGGGGCACCTGGGTGGCTCAGTTGGTTAAGCCTGCCGCTCAGGTCATGATCTCAGGGTCCTGGGATTGAGCCCTATGGTGGGCTCCCTGCTCAGCAAGGGGTCTGCTTCTCCCTCTTCCTCTGCTCCTCCCCCACCCCCACACTTGTGCTCTCTCTCTCAAAATAAATAATAAATCTTAAAAAAAAAAAGAGTTTCCCAAACAAATGTTAAAGGAGTTCTTCACCACTAAACTGGCTTTACAAGAAATGGTAAAAGGACTTTTTTAAGTGAAAAAGAAAAGGCTGTAATTAGAAGTACAAAAAAAGAAATACGGGTGCCTGTGTGGCTCAGTTGGTTAAGCCTCCGACTCTTGCTTTCAGCTCAGGTCACGATCTCAGGGTCGTGAAATCAAGACCCCTGGGGTTGGGCTCTGCATGGGGTATGGAGCCTACTTAAGATTCTCTCTCCCTCCCTGTCCCTCTGCCCTCCCCATCTCCTACTCTTTCTCTCTCTCAAAAAAAAAAAGAAGTTAAAAAATATGAATAAAAAGATGCAAAACATGACAATATATACATAAAACATGGAAGGGAGAGTAAAGCAGAAGTTATTTTAGAATGTATTCAAACTGGGGCACCTGGGTAGCTCAGTAGGTTAAGCATCTGCCTTCAGCTCAGGTCATGATCCTGGGATCCAGGGATGGAGCCCCACATTGGGTTCCCTGCTCAGCGGGGTGGCTGCTTCTCCCTCTGCCTCTCCCCCCAGCTCGTGCTCTCTCTCTTGCTTGCTCTCTTTTTAAAAACCTTTTTAAAAATTTTTTTTAAATGTGTTCAAACTTAAGTGACCATCAACTTAATATAAAATGCTATATACTCAGAATGTCATATATTAACCTCATGGTAATCACAAACCCAAGACCTTTAATAGATACATGAAAAATAAAGAAAAAGGAAGCCAAGCATAGCACTCCAGAAAGTTATCATTCACAAGGAAAGAAAGAGAAGAAGAAAGGAACAGAAAACTACAAAAACAACCAGAAAACAATTAACAAAATGTCAATAAGTACATCTGTATCAATAATTACTTTAAATCTAAATGGTCTAAATACTCCAATCAAAAGATATAGGGTGGTGGACTGGATAAAAAGCAAGACCCATCTATAAGCTGCCTACAAGAGATTCACTTCAGACCCAAAGACAAAGTGTCTTTGGACACTTTGTCCAAAGACACACTGGAAAGTGTGAGGATGAGAAAAGATATTCCATGTGAATGGAAGTTAAAAAAAAAAAAAAAAAAGCCAGGTTAGCAGTACTTGTATTAGACAAATAGACTTTAGAACAAACACTGTAACAAGAGACAAAGAAGGGCATTACATATTGATAAAAGGATCAATCCACCAAGAGGATATAACAATTGTAAATATTTATGCATCCCAAATTGGAGCATCTAAATATAAAAAGCAAATATTAATAAGGAGAAATTGACAGTAAAACAATAATAGTAGGAAACATTACCTCTCCACTTATATCAGTGGATAGATCACCAGGCAGAAATCAATAAGGAAACCATGTCTTTGAGCAACACATTAGACCAGATGGACTTAACAGATTATCTATCTATCTATCTATCTATCTATCTATCTATCTATCTATCACATTCATCCCCAAAACAACAGAATACACATTCTTTTCAAGTTCACATGGAACACTCTTCAAAACAGATCACATGTTAGTCCAAAAAACATTTCTCAATAAATTTAAGAGGATTGAAATCATACCATGCATCTTTTCTGAGTACAATGATATGACTAGAAATCAGTCACACACCAAAAAAAAGTAGAAAAAACACAAACATGTGGAGACTAAACAACATGCTACTAAACAACCAATGGATTAATGAAGAACTCAAAGAGGAAATAAACAACAACATGAAGATAGATGAAAATGAAACACAGTCCAAAATCTTTGGGATACAGTGAAAACAGTTCTAAGAGGGAAATTTATAGCAATACAAGCTTACCTCAAGAAATAAGAAAAACCCAGGACACTTGGGTGGCTCAGTCAGCTAAACATCTGACTCTTGATCTCAGCTCAGTTCTTGATCTCAGGGTCGTGAGTTCAAGCCCTGCATTACTTAAAAAAAAAAAAATAGAAAAAAGAAAAACTCAAATAAACAATCCGATCTTACACCTAAAAGGAATGAGGGAAAAAAAAGAAAAAAAAAAACAAAATTCATGGTTAGTAGAAGAAAGGAAATCATAAAGATCAGAGCAGAAATAAATGAAATAGAGTAAAAATTAATAGAAGACATCAATAAAATGAAGAGCTGGTTCTTTGAAAGAATAAACAAAATTGATAGACCTTTACCCAGACTCATCAGGGAAAAAAAGAGAGAGGTCACAAATAAAAGCAGAAATGAAAGAGAAATAACAACCAACACTACAGAAATAAAAAAGATGGGGCACCTGGGTGACTCCTTCAGTTAAGCGTTTGCCTTCAACTCAGGTCATGATCCCAGAGTCCTGGGATTGAGCCCCACATCAGGCTTCCTGCTCATCAGGGAGCCTGCTTCTCCCTCTCTCTCTGCCCCTCTCCCTGCTTGTGCTCTCCCTCTCTCTCTCTCCCTCTCTCAAATAAATAAAATCTTTAAAAAAAAAATTAAAAGGGCGCCTGGGTGGCTCAGTTGGTTAAGCGACTGCCTTCGGCTCAGGTCATGATCCTGGAGTCCCTGGATCGAGTCCACATCGGGCTCCCTGCTCAGTGGGGAGTCTGCTTCTCCCTCTGACCCTCCCCCCTCTCATGTGCTCTCTCTCTCAGTCTCTCTCTCTCAAATAAATAAATAAAATCTTTAAAAAAAAATTAAAAAATATTATGAGAGACTAGTATGAAAAATTATATGCCAACAAATTGCACAACCTAGAAGCAGTGAATAAATTTTTAGAAACATAATCTTCCCAAACTGAATCAGAAAGAAATAGAAAATCTGAACAGACCAATTACTAGTAATTAAATTAAATTGGTAATCAACAAATTCTTGAAAAAAATGTCCAGGACCAACGGATTCACAGGTGAATTCTATCAAACATTTAAAGAAGAGTTAACACCTATTTTCTTCAAACGATTCCAAAAAATAGAAGAGGAAGGGAAGCTTCCAAATACATTCCATGAGACCAGCATTACCCTGATACCAAAGCCGGCAAAGACAATACAAAAAAAGAAAATTATAAGCCAATAACCCTGATGAACAAAGATGTAAAAATATCCAACAAAATGTTAACAAGCCATATTCAACAGTACACTAAAAGGATCATTCACCACAATCGAGTGGATTTTATTCTGAGGTTGCAAGGACGGTTTAGTATTCACAAATCAATGTGATATACTGCATTAACAAAATGAAGGATAAAAATCATATAATCATCTCAATAGATATAGAAAAAACATTTGTCAAAATTCAATATTTGTTCATGACAAAAATTCTCAATAAAGTGGGTTTAGAAGAAGCATACCTCAAAACAATAAAGGCCATTTATAACAAACCCACAGCGAATGTACGCAATGGTGAAAAACTGAGAGTTTTTCCCGTAGGGTCAGGAACAAGACAAGGATGTCCACTCTCACCACTTTTATTCAACACAGTACTTGAAGCACAGCAGTCGGACAACAAAAAGAAATAAAAGTCACCTAAATTGATAAGGAGAAGTTAAACTGTCACTATTTCAGATGACATAATAATACACATAGAAAGCCCTAAAGGCTCCACCAAAAAAAAAAAAAAAAAAACTATTAGCAGTGATAAATGAATTCAGTAAAGTTTTGCAAAATACAAAATTAATACCCAGAAATCTGTTGCATTTATATACACTAACAATGAATTAGCAGAAAGAGAAATTAAGAAAACAGTTCCATTTATAATTGTGTCAAAAGGAATAAAATACCTAGAAATAAACTTAACCAAGGAGGTGAAAGACATGTATTCTAAAAACTATACACATTGATGAAAGAAATTGAAGATGACACAAATGGAAATTAATCAAAAGAATTAATATCATTAAAATGTCCTTACTACCCAAAGTAATCTACAGATTCAACGCAAGCCCTATTAAAATACCAACAGCATTTTTCACAGAATTAGAACCAATAATACTAAAATTTGTATGGAACCACAAAAGACCCCAAATAACCAAAGCAATCTTGAGGAAGAGCAAAGCTGGAGGTATCACAACCCCAGATTTCAAGATATACTACAAACCTGTAACAGTCAAAATAGTATAGTACTGGCACAAAAGTAGATACATAGATCAAATGGAACAGAATAGAGAACCCAGAAATACACCCACACTTATATGGTCAATTAATCTATGACAAAGAAGGCAAGAGTATACACTGGGGAAAAGACAGTCTCCTCAACAAATGCTGTTGGGAAAACTGGACAGCTACATACAAAAGGATGAAACTGGACCACTTTCTTTCACTATACACAAAAGTAAACTCAAAATGGATTAAAGACCTAAACATGAGACCTGAAAGCATAAAACTCCTGGAAGAAAACATAGGCAATAATTTCTTTGATATCAACTTTAGGAACATTTTTTCTAGATATGTTTCCTCAGGCAAAGGAAACAAAAGCAAAAATAAACTACTGAGACTACACCAAAATAAAAATCTTTTGTATAGCAAAGGAAACCATCAACAAAATGCAAAGGCAAGCCACTGAATAAGAGAAGATATTTGCAAATGATATATCTGATAAGGGATTAGTATCCAAAATATATAAAGAACTTATACAACTCAACACCATAAAACCAAACAATCCAATTAAAAATTCCAAAGAAGACATGCAAATGGCTAACAGACACATGAAAAGATGCTCAACATCAATATTCATCAGGGAAATGCAAATCAAAACCACAGTGAGGTATTAACTTACACCTGTCAAAAAGGCTAGCATCAAAAAACAAGAAAGAACAAGTATTGACAATGATGTAGAGAAAAAGGAACTCTTCTACACTATGAACAAACAAACAAAAAGCAGAAACAGACCCATAAGTACAAAGAACAGGCTGATGGTTGCCAGAGGGGAGGGAGATAGAGGGATGGGCAGAATGGGTGAAGGGAAGTAAGAGATACAGGCTTCCAGTTATGGAATAGATGAGTCACAGCGATAAAAGGTACAGCATGGGGGGATGCAGTCAATTGTATTGTGTTGCGTGGTGACAGACGGTAGCTACAGCATAATGCATAGACTTATTGAATCACTATATTGTACACCTGAAACTAATGTAACATTGTGTATCAACTATACTGCAATCTTTTAAAAATGTAAAAAAAAAATCTGAAGCAAACAATACCAAATATTAATAAATATTAAACCTGAGTGACAAATTTTTTTTTACAAGTGAGCAAAAGGAAAATTTTGTGTTCTGTTGTTTTGTAAAAATGAGCACAAAGTTAGAAATCAGCATCAAAATCTCTAAGATCAAATGCTGGTATCTGGGTACTAATAGCACTCTAACCAATGCTTATTTCTGAATAAAAAATTGAAAGATCGTACTCACCTCTTTATCACAACGAAAATCTTTTTCTACTCCTTTCCTTTCTTGTTTCCTGTTTCCTGGACCCATATAATTTATTATTTCTTAAGTAGAATTACCAATTTACTTGAACTGAGTATGTCAAAGAGTAACTGAAATAAATAAAATACAATAAAAATGTTTTTATGCTGGAACCAAAGACCTACCAGAGCTGACTTTTAGTAAATGGTGCTTCTGTGGCCTGAGAGAGTTTCAAAGATGTTGTCTCTGCCCTCTGATAGTTGAAGAATGACCAGCAATGTTGTTGGCAGAGACTTAGATATGGTGAGTATGTTAAAATGTTCACGTGTGTGAATAATATATCAGCTGAAGTCCGAACTTAAACCAATATCCTTTAAAAGGAGAGAACTGCAACACATTAATAAGAGTTTGCACTTACTATAACAAAGTCCCCTCTTATCTAAACCAAAGTCTTTTAAGTTTATTACAGCAATCAGAGTAATGTGTTGGAATTTCACATGTGTATGTGTGCGTGAATAATGCGGGTCTTAACATTCCTTGGCCGAGTCCTATTCTTAGGTAGTTTTTCACAGAATGGCAGTTTTTACAAAAGCACAGCGTTTTCTCTTCAATGAAGAATCCCAAAAAGAATTCTAATCAATGCAGACCTAATATCCCTTCTTTATTTGCCATTAGCCTAAGTTCAGGCTTTAACCTCTATGTTTTACTTGCGTTTAAACCAATATGTAAACTGATATTGTCTCCCTGTCTATGGCACAGAATGGATCATTGCAAACTGCAAACTGGAGCATTAGGCTCCCTTTCTATGTCCTGCTTCTGTTTCCCACTTTCCTAGTTTCATTTCCTCATGCCTTTAAAAAGATGCAAATGGAATTAAAACCATTTAAGAAATGTCCTTCTGGGTGGTATTTCCTACTTAAGGTTTTTTTAGATCATAAATCTGCTTTCTCACAATGTTATTATAATCCTTAATGTATTAATTGTTCATAATAAAAGTGCATTTCTTATTTAAGAAGAGTGAAATTATGTGTGTGCTACTGTCAGAGGAAGTGCAATGTGCAAGTTAACCTGTTCATTTATCCCACGGGCACTGATCGAGTGCTTATTACGTCCCAGCAGTCTGGGACCTGAACCCTTATCCTCAGAAGTTCATGAAGCAGTAGAAGAAATAGACTCATAAATGAAACACTGTGGCATGTTGCACTGGCCATGCTAGAGATCTCTCTAACACAATATGTAAACCCTGATAAGGCACACGTAAGCCCTCATAGGACATGCTATTTGAACAGAATTGTAAAGGTTGCTTAACTAAACCCTCCTCCTGGCCATGATTTAGGGCCAGAGATCCACCCAGTTTCTAGACGACAGGAAGAACTCATCCGAATTCCAGTTCTAGTGGAAAACTGAGATGCCAAACCTTTAGAGAAGCAAGAACTCAGAATGGGGCAAAGGTGGTAACTCTGTATAACACTATTCAGCCATCCAAAAAAAATCATGTCCTCTAGCATCCATTCAACAAATGTTTACTGAGTTCTGACTACGTTTGCGGCAATGTTCTATGTGCTAGAAATACGGCAT